CCAACAGCGAGAAGGTGGAAGTGAAGGTAGATGGCCATTCTGCCACAGAAACAGTCAAATCAGATTGTGGGAACAGGCTGCAGAGGCTCCGCTGCTGTTTGCATATGACTGCAGTCCACCTGCACAGAGCACTGTGGGGTGTCGCTTTGGTGATCTGCATCTGCTTTTCTTGGTCGGGCTGCACTCAGTTGGCCAAAATAACCATTAGACGCTTGAATGTCCCGTTCACCCTCACTTGGTTCTCCACCTCCTGGAACTGTGCTATCTTCCCTCTTTACTACCTGGGTCACCTATGCTGTAGCAAGGACAGACAGACTCCCAGACAGCACTTCAGGTGAGTTGGGTTGGGTTTCCTTTCATGCAAGGAGATCTGATTCTGTGACCTATGAAACTTAAGTGCATTTCAAAATGAAAACTCTTTGCAAAAGTGCTGCACTGTTTTATGCAGACACCTTTTGTTGACTTTGCTTTTTTGTTGGTCTTGGCTGCTTAGATAGAGGGCTTGACACTAATCTCATTTTCTTAACAATGTCCCATGGCATTTTTTGTCTTTTGTGAGTTCAGCACAAAATATTTTTTAAAGGTTAAGTCTTTTGTACTGAGCAGCACTTTCTGAAGTAGGTGTAATTTAGTGAAGCCAGGGTTTCCCTAAATTGGATAGTTTGTTTTATAATGTTCATCTAGTTAGCAGTTCTTCTTCTTAAAGTCATCAAGAAATCAAAACCTATTTACTGTATTAATAAGTTCCACATCTCAATGTGTGCATCTTATTACGCTCATCAGTGTATTTTATTTCTAAGAAAAAAAAAATTGTTTGACTTTGTAAACTTTCACCAAAATACAATTACTTTTTCCACCTCTGAAATTACTTTTGCCTGATGTTAGTTTATGTTACACATTATCCAAAGGCTTTTTTTTATCTTTTGGGCTGCTGTTGTAAGTCATGTAGTTTTACTGTACTGTAATTTACTGTAGTAATTTATTGATATAAACAAATTAATGAAGTTAATATTAATATAATAAAAGTTACAGCAGTATTAGCAATATAAGCTGCAAAAGTTGTACATTTACCATGGTTGACAGAATTCTCTTATACTCAACAAGGCTGCATTTATTTGATTGAAATACAGTAAAAACAGTAACACTGTGAAATATTACCATTTAAAATAACTGTTTTAATGTATTTTAAAATGTAATTTATTCCTGTGATGCCAAAGCTGAATTTACTTTACAGTCTAAAAAAATTAATAAACTATATGTGTTTTTATATTGTAAAGAAATTCATACATAGATATATGCATATGCAGATATATTCAAAATAATTGTAAGCATTAGACTATTTAATTAATTAGATAGTTTAGCCTAAGATTTTAGATCAAACATCTTTAAGTTCATTAGAAACTTCCAATCAGTCAGGTGTGTCCAAACATTTGGCACTCTGTGTTACATAATTGTGTAGTGGAAATGTTGGTATGATAAATTATGGCATGATACATTATTTGCACGTTTGTGGATTGACATTAGACAGTGTTGTCAGTTCTTGGGAGATGACGGGCTGTCACTGAGGATGCTGCTCTCTCGTGTGGCTCCTTTTGGAGTGCTGTGGACTCTCACCAGCTACCTGTAC